AAGACTTTAGAATGTCTCTAATATTTATTTATTTTTTTTTATGAGCAGCTTGATGTTCCAAGAGTCAGTGTATCCCCTGGAACATAGAACACATCTATGAACTAATACAATTTCTACTGTCTCATTTTAGAGATACCTTCTACTAAGTGCTAAGTAGTAACTGCTAGCTGGGAAAACAGGCTAAGGCTTTTTCTTCCCCCCTCTGCCTGTTCAAAGGGGATGACAAACTTCTGATTTACACTCCGTTCACTTAAGGATCGTTTTATGCTATTCTAATGATCCTCTGACATTGCTCATGATTGCTACTTTTTATTGTATTGGTATATACATCTGACACTAATGTTACCTATAGGAAATTGAGCTGTCAAAAAACTATACAATAGTATAGGAAATGCTAGGCTAGTAAATGGAGAAAGATGACTGCCTTTTCAGAACATGATTTGATTCACTGGTTTTAGACATCTACTGCAGGAGGGAGTAAAGCACTCCTGGGAACTGCCAGTCTCTTTCCACCAATTACTGGATTTAAAACCAGCTGATTAACATAGACTGGATACCTAATTTCTGCATTAATTCATTAATCATTATCAAGTATGATATTTCCATCTTAATTAAGAATTTAGACACACGTAAAAACCTGGCAGCTGCTTCACCTAGAAATGTAACAGAAATAATGTTGTAAGAATAATTCGTAACCAGAAGGGAAAAATAAATTTCTTATATTCAGCTTCCTTTCCCTGCTTGATTGTCTGGCAATGCTAGAGATCTATGCAGCTGAGACCCTTCTACCACTCACAGCTCCTGATATAGTGTAACCTTGTACAATAGATCATGGTTTTGCACTGACAAAAGAGTCTGTGATACATCTAGATTAGAGGTCTGAATACCTGCATAACTGCAACTCTTACAAGGCACAATGGCAGCCTTTCCAAATAAAAGATTGAAGGTTTCAGTCCAAATACTTTTGAGTTTGATTCCTTACTGAAAAGTCAGTAACTTTTTCAGAAGGAATGAATCCTTTTACTGATAAGGTAGGCCCTTGTCCACTAAGGGAATACTAGAAAATAAAAGTTTCTCTACACTTGTGGATTATTTAAGATTGTGTATTTCTTTGGGATTTTTTAAGGTTAAGTGCCAATAAAATCACTGGGATTTAAAACAGCAGTGAATTTTGGCTCAAGTCCATGGAATTTAATAACTTCAAATTTAACAAAAAGATTTTACTTGATGAATTTTTCTGGTTGAACCAGATTAAATAGATCTTCAACTTCATCTTGCATGCTACACAAATCCCTTTCGTACTTCCTCATAAATTTGCTACAAGGTCTTTTACTTCGCATAAGATAATCTCTTCTCTACATGCTTCAACATAAAAGTACCTAAATATTTTTGAAGCACAGGTTAAGGAAGAAAATATATGATTATATGATGCATTTTACATTATTTTGTTTGAAATATTTTCCATTCAGCAGCCCTAACCTCAATGAACAGTAATTTAAAGCAAGAAAACTGCACTGAAAGAATTTCTCTATGTATTTACAAGAGTGACAGGTACTTCCATCTTGCATGCCAAAGTAAAGGAGGTTTTTAAGATTGCACAGTCCATCCATCTGTCTATCCCTCTCCTGCTTCCATTTTTTTAGTGTTTGGGTCAATTTCCTACACACTGGACAGAGGAACAGAAATCGCCACTGACTTATCTTTGCCTCTCATAACAGCACAGAGGAAATAGTTTCCTTTATAACATTCACCCTCTCTGCCCTCAGAAACTTACTGGAGGACAAAGACAAACTATGTTAAATGAAAAATCAATAACAGCAGTCAACAAAAAGCAGCAAAAATTGTGTGTTGCCATTACACACGCCCCACTTTGAATACTGTGATAGAGGAGATACTCAGGTGGGTGGAAAAGTGTCATAAATACTGACAGTATTTTAGTAGAAGCATTTATGAAAACATACTTAAAAAAAATGGGGTATGTAGCTTATGCTACTACAAAAATCTGACTAGACATTAAAGGTTTTGTGGAAAAGGCATGCCTTGTCTGAAGTTACTTATGAATTAATGCATTTCAGATATAAGAAAGGATTTTAGATTTATGGTTCCAAAATTTGTCACAGCTAAGTCCTCCCCCTCTGTTTCAATTTGAGGCCTACTGGCTTAAAGGTGGAAATCACTTCAAAATACTTTTTATAAGATTCTGCTGTGAAAAGAATTAAGTCAGATTTCCAGAACTTGAGCTTTGGATCAGCAGAGCCTCAATGTTAAAATTATATGCTTTATGATTATAAGCAAAATAGAATTAAATAATATAGGTCAGATACAGTGGACGAGGCTCTGCTTCAACTGAAGTCAGAGAGACTCTTTCTCTGGCAACATCTAAACTTATAACTAAAATTCTCAGGGCCTCTTTTATATCCCTGAGATCATCTGGCAGCATCTGGCCACAACCCCTCTATGAAATGCTCTGGTGTTTTAAACAGAATAGCACAACCAAACCACTCACTGGGAACAGAGCTGAGCTGAATCTATCATCTTGACTGTGTCCAGGATTTTTTCTGTAGATTTTAACCACTGTGGAGCAAAGATTGCCAGAAATTATTTCAACAAGTCAGCAGTATGATTCAGGCTCAGTGCCCAAATCCATGCTCTACCACTCATTTTATATGCCATTGATGAGCCTTGCTCTGATTTAAATCAAGAGTACTACCCATATTCTCAGATATCAATAGGATTATTTTTAGCCTTTTAACCATGTTTTGAGTTTAAAATAAAGACATAAAGATAATCCAGACATACAGAAATTATGCTGGTTTTACTCTGTTTCTAGTGGTAAGTGGCTATTTTGATTTTGTGATGGTGCACAATTTTCTAACTCCATATTTGTGCGCTTCTTTCCCCAGTCTGCTATTTATGGCTCTGCTGTAGCAATGTCTCTCTCCCCTTACCCCTTATTCAATTCTGGTACCATGTTTTCTCCCTAGAAAAAAATAAAAAAAAGCTACGCACAAATGAATAATGAATAGTTAGTAAGACTAAAGCTTAATATATCACAAGTATGAACAAAGCATATTAAAATTTCTCATTTGTTTTGATTGATAATTAAATATTTGACATTCCAGCTTCCCAGCCACATAAAGCAAGTGCCCTCTGCCTCAGAGTGTGATTCCAGAGGGGTGACTGCAAAATTTACCTAAGCAGCAGCAGATCTATTTACTGTTTGCACATCCTACTATTTTGAGGTCTTCAGTGAGCTGAAAATTGGTGCAATACTCAAGAAATTTGACAGAGGAAAATATATGCATATTCTATGATACACAGTCTGAAGGCAATGATAAAATAATATGCTTGACTGACAATAAAAAAATGCAATGAATAGAAGTAACCAAACAAATTGGAAGCACAACATTTTTATATATGAGGTATATGTTACTCTGTCAAGACAATTACAAAGAAATGCAAGTTACTATGGCAGTCTTAGGGAACTTATATAACAGCTGAGTAACTAGCAGTTTGCTAGCTTTTCCCAGGCTACAGGAACTTCCTCAGAAGACTGAGGAAGGCCTTTAGTCCCAGCCTTGAGATTGTTGCAGAATATGAAAGGAAGCAAGAAGCAAGTGAGATAACAAGGATCGGTAGGTCCCTCATTAAAAATATGTTTGGAGAATTATGTCTAAAATACAACCCTTAAGTCCAGAGATTGAATTTATAAGAATTTTTTTTCTAATATTCCTTGAGATTGATTTGGACATATCAGAAGAAAACCACTGTACTGCAATAGTGGTAGAGAACATAGGTCATTAACAGACCAAAATAATTTAGAAATTCCATGAAACAAATAACAAATTTACTTCAAATCAGTATAAGCAACCTCATGTAAAAAGCTTAAGGTGGTCAAGGAAAACATGTAATATCAAGCTGCTCTTACAAAAAAACCAAACAACCCCCCCCCCCCCCCCAACCCCCAAATTAATAATGTTCATTTTGAATTGCAGACTTTTTTGGTAGAAATAAAAGATTATTTAACAAACTTTTTTAAAAATTTGCAGTATTTGGGGAGATACGCTACGTTTTTCATCACATGATACTTAAAACATTAAGTATAGAGACCTGACTGTAGTACCAACTCAGTACTAGCTGGTACAGTTTCCTGCTGTTCGATGTTAGTGGTGATCCTCATATATGAGAAAATAGCAGAAAAGCAAAATTGAAGGAAATCCATAATTCTTCATCCTACAGACACTCTGTCAGTTATAATTATTCATTCTACTAATTGAGAATTGATTGTAAGAAAACTATTAAAACTTTAATGTTATAATTTGTTAATGTTAAAATCTCAATAAATACAAAGGGCTGAAAATAAAATGGAAAGCTGACTATTAAATGAAGCATTTTGAATAAAAGCATGTTTGAGAAAGAAGAAATATTTCATGTTTTTGAAAAAAGGTAATATAAAATTGAATGATCTTCCTTAAAAAATACCATTATGACTATAAATATTTATTTACAAGTAATAAAATATTTCTCACCTTTGCAAAGCATTCTTTTAACAGGAGTTAGCATCCCTTCTATGCCTCCTTGCAAACAACATTAGAACCATAAACAATGTTGGAATTGCAAACAGAGTCCCTACTGTTCAAACGAATTTGTCTATGAATAACAATTGGCAGCAGCTAATCCTTATGGTAGGACCAAATCATCTACTTTAGGCACTTTATTTGTACCTAACCTTTAGGTGGACAGATAAGCATCCATTTAAATTAAGTGCCTGAGGTCCATTGCAGTCTGACAAGACAGCTACCTGCCTTAAGACCTGAGAAGGCAAACTTTTCTGACTAAATTTATGCACTAAAGTTATGTAAAAACACTCCTCATCTGAGAGCTTTTAAAGGCACCTACCTCTTCTCCTTAGGATACAGTAACTTTAGGCTTTTGCTTTAGCAGGACAGACTCCTAAAATTTAGGGAGAACTTTTATGAATTTGCTTCATATCCTGCATCTATTTAGGATATTCTCCTTGCTCGAGTTTCTGATTGTTTTATTTTCTTGAACAAAAAAACTAATTGCCTGATGCTACCTCAAACTGTACTTGGGAACAACTAAGACTTCTATCATAGAAACCTGCAATATTTGGTATTACTTACAAGGGAAGTGCCCTAAGATTAAAATGCCTTCTTTTTATATAAATTTTCAATAACAAGAAGTATTATCTGTGCATATAAGATGATTTCAGAAGGAAGGTTAGGAATATGTTAAAAGTACAACCATATTATTTCCTTAGCAACAGCAAAACCCACTTCATTTGTGTATAAGTCAGAGTAAGACCTGAAGGGAAAAAAAAAAAAGGCAGATGGCCCAGAAAAATCTTTATGTTTTGTTATGTTCACCCTATACTGGAAGTATCCTTCTGCAAACAGCAGTTACTAGAGAATCTGTTCTCAACCATACAGAGCATCACAGCAAAGGATAGCATCAAGGCAATCTATGAATGAACAAATTAATGTCTCATGGAAGCTTTATTAATAGATAAGAAAACCCTAAGGCAAGTTATCTAAAACTGAGAGGAGGCTTTTTAGCAGAGTCTAAAGCTTTTCAGTGGATCTACCATGATATTTAAATTCATACTTAACATCAGCTTGTGCTTCACTAGGCCTACTTAATATGCTTAGAGCCATGTGGGTGCTTAAGTCTTTTCCTCAGTCTGAAATAGAGCACTTATTGTTTTCTCAGAGCTAAACTCCCAGGCCTCAAAAGAACTTGACTGTGGAGCTATAACTTTTCAAACATATAGAAGCAAGATAAAAATTCCTATGGCAGTTGTCTTCAATAATTAGTTCTTTTCTACAGGGAAGGCTAGTAGAAATTGTCTGTGTGCCCAGCACTTTTGAAAACAGACTTAGAGGCCAAATTTTGGACACACACTTTTCAAATGGCATTCCATATTTCTACCTAATAAGGGGGAGTATGTATGACCATGGCAGCAGAAATCAAAATGACACCACAAAAAATATTGAATGAATATTCATTTAGAATTTTAGATTAATGCTGAAGATGACAAACTGATTCAGTTTGACTTAATATTTGTTATCTCATAGATTCAAAATGTTTAACGGATTGTGGAAACTCTTAATGTTACAGCTAAAACAACTACAGACTTCTTATAAAATCACGCAGTTGAAACGTTGCGAATGAAATAACTACTTTCTTTAAGAAAATAATTTATTTTCCATAGTCACAACATATAATCTAATATCAGTTAGTGTACATATATTTTCTTGCAATACTCTGACTGTCTATAAACACTGGATCCACAGATGCCACTTTTGCTGCTATAAAGGAGTGAATACAGTGTAAAACTGCTGTCAGATCCTGAAATTCAAGCTCCTGAAAGAAGAAGTAAAAGGGAAAAAAAGGAAGATAAAATGTGAATTCATATTCAGGTTTATAAACATTTTACATAAATGCAGAACAGACTAATCAGCAAACAACAATTGGACTTTAAATAAAAATTTGAATCTTTATACGGAACTCTAAGCTTAAAGAATAAAATGCGCACATCTGTACCTTGTTCACTGGCAGTGACACATGTCAATTTAGTTTTCACTCTGTGTCTACTATATTATTTATATTTTACTCAGCTTGGACAATGAAAGCATTCAACTTGCAAGAACATTCAAATATTGCAACATATTTTAAAGTATTTAATAAGGTAAGGATGTTTGAGGATGACGCAGTATCAAACCACAGCCAGGGAGGGGAGAAAAACACATGCTTTGGCAACCCCTGACAGAGAGTCAGATAAGCGGGGCAGAAGCTAAGGTGAAGTCACACCACAGCCTCCATATAGAAATATGGCTGGGTATGAAATTCATATACCTTAATTCAGAAACAAAGGCAGAGTTACTCCTAACCAGTTCTCAGATTCCCTTGACTTTTTATAACATATTTCATGTTCTGTGCACAAGATAAATTTCTTTTTCCCAATCTCTCCAGACAGAAATGGAGTAATATTTTGACACAACAACAGCAAATATGATAAAAGAAACAAGCTCAATTTACATTATACTACTATTTGTAAAGTCTGTTGCTGCTAAATCTATTGTGGGGACACTTGGGACAATTTTTGGCTTAGGGAGAAGACATTTATTTTCAACAGCATTGAAATAGTAATTTATCAAGACACAATCCATATGCTTGCCTTTAAACAAAAAGCAAAGTACTGGACTTCTGCTTTTCTTATAACAGTATTTTACAGTATCTTCTCAACAAAACTGCCTCAAAAAGAGTATTTGGAATTTAAGGTTACTATATTCTGGAAAAACTCACCATTGCAATATCTTGCTGTCTAAGGCCACATATTTACTAGGCAGGGGTGGGTTTACTACTAGCAAATGTCTTAAATTGTTCAGTGATATTTGTGGGGCATGATTTTTTGAGGCTATATTGGACATAACTGGGAATTTTTATTTTTATTTTTTTTCTGGGGTGGGGGGGGAGCTGCCGGAGCTTCTGCGAGGACACTGTTGGTTCCGTCAGGATCCAACCCACCCACCACAGGGCATGGATAAGCCAACCCTGCAGCCCAGGTATGACACCCCTGCGAAAACACGTATAAGAACGGGCAGTAAATTCCCCGAAATTCACAACAAAGCCAGTGTGCTAGGATATGATCCATGGCAGAGCAGGTAACACCCCTGAAGAGACTGAAATGGATGAAGGAGCCACTCTGGAGCAGAAGAAACAAGTAAGAAGCAAGGAGCAGCAAAGGCAAAGAGAAACAAGGAGTGTCAGAAAGAAACTGTTACACCCTGACAATATTTGAGGGATCTAGTTCATGATAATGACATTCTATTGATTTTTTTCTTTAATTGTACACAGTTTCTTTACGACCTCAGGCATATATAACTTATTGTCTCAGGGATTTTATTACCCACTAAGCAAATTTATTATTCCCAGGAAAATGTAATTTTCTGTTACCATCTACTCTCTGCAGTAACAATAAGCAATGTTACCGGACAATAAGAGTAATAAAATGATATTCAACAAGTTCCCAAGATACACTCTTTCCTTGGTGTTACAGGCCTTATAAATGTCTTTATTCTCTACAAAACATCCACAGAAACTACAGGGAAATACCTCACATACCTTTACATCCTGCAAATAATATGTACCCAGAGATTTTTAGGTGCATGTAATCATTTGTCTTGTGTGGGTTATTATCAGACAAACAAATTTTAACTCCTTCCAGAACCTAGAAACTCAAGAATTTCTCAAACAACTTTGAGAATGTGTTAACATAACCCTCTCCTCCCTTCAAAAATTCTTCTCTGAAATTAACTGTTTTTCCTAAAACCTTCAAAAAAATCAAAATCAAACAAAACCATCTGAATTCAGAAACAATGCATAGCTATTTTTGATGCCAACAGTTGAAGTAATTAGTGATTTAAACCAGATTATTATAAATTGATAAATTACAAACTGACACTTCCAAGATTATAAAAGAACAGCAAACACGAAACAACCATAATTAAATCCTAATAAAAAAATAAAGGCATAAATTGATATAACCAATAAGCAAAATGTTCTATTTGTTATCATTTATACCTAGTTAAATAAGGAGAAAAAAAGGTAACATTGAGAGAAGTGGCAAAACTCTCTTAAACCTCTGCTTTTGAATACTTGCTAGTCAACAAATTAAGAAGTAATCATACTAAAAGAAGAAAAATCTCTTGAGAACTTGTATCAAGCTAAGCACTTAGATAACTTAATAACTGGCATTTGGTTCCTGAATTAATCATTTGGGCCTCATACTCAAAATTAGATCTCTTTGTAAAAGAAAAATGAAGCATGAATGTCGGTTGAAATCCTTTGAGGAATTTAAGCCCATGTAATTTTTATTGTGATCCTTTTGGGGCACAAGAAAATCTGCTTTTTCTATTTTGCTTGATAGTTATGGAGCAAGTATGGGAATAAGTTTTTTTAAAATGTATATTATAGACAGTAGATTTCTACTGTAAATATTAATTTAAGATTAATATGAAGATTTTAAGAAAAGAGTGTCATTATTTAACTCTCATTGTCTGAGTTTTATAAAACTAAAAGGAAGTACACACTCATGATTATTACTGAAATATAACTCAATATGATATAACACGTGTCTCAGAATATCAGTTCTTGGCCCAAGTAAAAGGTTTACACCTCCTGAATTATCATCTTTAAAACCAGTAAATTCTAAAACATGAACTCACTTATGTTTGTCTTAGACGTGCTCCAAAATAATGATATCATTCAACAATGTCATCTCAGTTTCGACATTCAACACAATGACCAAATGTGGTCAAACAAAGACAGATTTTCCCAAAGCTTTTCATTTCTCTGCTCTGGATTAATGCACTTCTAATCTATATATGTTTATCATGATAAGAAATCAGAAGTAACAACACAGATTGCAGGTAGGATTTCAGGCTAACAATGTTATGTGAAGAATTTTGGGATAAGAAAAGAGCAAATACAGGAATGTCTCATTACTGGCAATCAGTTCTTCCCAGCGCCCCTACTGCACAGTTCTCTCTGTTTTTGTCAGTTCACAGTATATAATAATAATAATATAAAAATATAAAATATAATAGAATCATAGAATAGTTAGGGTTGGAACTTTCCTTAAGATCATCTAGTTCCAGCCCTCTTGCCATGGGCAGGGACACCTCCCACTAAACCATGTCACCCAAGGCTCTGTCCAGCCTGGACTTGAACACCGCCAAGGATGGAGCATTCATAGATTCCCTGGGGTATCCATTCCAGTGCCTCACCACCCTTACAGTAAAGAACTTCTTCTATAATACATAATGTATATTATATAATAAATATATAACATATAATAAATATAGAATATATAACAACAATACTATATTTTCTATAAAACATAATCTACATACAGTTGAAAGAGGAGCAGTACCATATTATTGAACTGATGTTTTATGTGAAGGCAGCACTTTATTTTATCCATTTAATAGTGCAGGTCCCTCAGTCAGGGGGATTATTTTCAAGAATGGTGCTAGTTTTGGAAGCTGTTACAGAGCTTGGCAGCCAAACAGGTGGCATGCAAGCACTCTTCATAGAATCATAGAATAGTTATGGTTGGAAAGGACCTTAAGATCATCAAGTTCAAACCCCCCTGCCATGGGCAAGGACACCTCCCACTAAACCATGTCACCCAAGGCTCTGTCAACAGCTGATTTATTTCTCTCAAGTTCTCTCACGTCTTCACTATTTCATATTACATTATCCATGGGGGTGAGATATCATCTGGGATCATAAAAGAGGAGAAGTTCTCTGGAGGTGTCCTCTTGCAGGGCTCTGTTAGATGCGGTCAGCTATGGTGGTTTCACAGAGGGAGTTCACCTGAGGCTTCATGTACCACAAGCACCCAGAAATGCAGCTTACCACAGTAGTATTTAACCCAGGAGAACACAAATGAGGGTAAGTGCTTTGTATCTGAAGGATGTCTGATGTCTATGCTGGCTGCCTTCACAATCCTGAAGGCAGGAAACCTGCTAGTCAGGTGCAGATGCTGAAGAATAGTCATATATACCCAACCCAAAAGTTGGGGTACAAATTTTTGAATGCTCAGGACACAGATTGCTCAGGGAATGGGTATTCTGGTGGTGGATATGGCTTGCATGCGTATTACAACACAGAAAGCATAAGAGGATTGGGGGATAGTTTGGAAATATGATTTGGTAAAAGAAAGGGATAGCTGCCTGGCTTGGAAAAATGTGGATGTTGCATCGTAAGAGGACATGAAAACAATATGTCTTTTAGCAAGGGAATGTGTCCTTAAGGGAGGAAATTTGACCTCTTCAGATTTAGAATGTAATGTGAATTCTTCCTAGAAAATAACACCAATGACACTTCTTTCAAACAAATGAATTGCTCTGAAAAGTTGTTTTTCCTTTTTCTTTTTTTTTTTTTTTTTAAGTTACATTTCATCTCCAGCCAGGTAGATGACTAACTGATCATTTTATTTGATTTGATTTGTATTATCTAAGACCACCCTTATGCTTGCTTGCCTTATCTGTGATTGCTGCTCTTTTCTTTAATTAAGATTATCAGTTTATTTTTGCTGTATTTAGAAGAATCTGTGCATGTCTAGTATTTCAATAACCAAAGCTATTTCAGTTTACTTTATGGATCCTAATAAGTGGATTAAGTACAACAAAGACACCAGAAGGAAGACAGCAAGAGAAGAGCATAAAAGATTGGATTAAATCAGTGGGAGGACAAGGCTGCAAAACTGCCTGCTGGTACTGAGAATATAAAAAATGTGCACACTGCGCTGACCTTGATCACTATATGTGCACAGGTGATAAGAAAAAATATATGTCCTTGTTTTGTCCACCCACCTATGAGAATTGGATTTATTACATGTCATAAAGAGTTTGACATTCCTGTTGCATCATTACCACATACACACTTAATTTTATTGATTACTTCCAAGAGCTGTTGAATCAGTATTTGAGCAAGAGATGACATAACAGGCAGATAATGAAGGCACTGAAGACACTGACAGATAGTATTATTACGCCCTATGAGTTTTGTGACTTCTTTAAGGACTTTGGTAAGCCTCAGTGTTTATTAGTTGTTGACAAAAGCACAGCTATTACTACTGTATTATTCCACTTATTTCAAACAGATTCAAATGACAACCATGTATTTTGTAAAGACAGAACAAAGATCTCTAGGTTTCAGTTCCAGTCCACATGGAATACAAACTGGAAAAGGAAATTCTAAGTTTAGTTTTATATCTTGCAAGTATACCAGGGTTTGGCTGCCGTATTTTGGCTCAGAAGAAGAAACGTATTAGCATTGCACAGCTTGCTAAGACTGTTATAAACATGCAGAGATAAATTATCAGCTATGGTATGAAAGCTTCTTCAGCTATAAACTTTTATTTGGCCTTCTCCTTCTGACTGTCACTTGCACAAAGAGAAGAATAAGCTAAAATGGTGCTCTTACCCTGCAAGCATAAAAAACCGTATCTATGAAGCCAGTAGTCAGAGCCAGATAATTGCAACTCTATCTACCAATCGTACTTACTTCTTTTAACAGTGTTCTACAGGGACATGGAAGAGTCAGATGGCTTTTCACTTTGAGTGATCAGCTTGAGTGCTATGAAATGCAACTCTCTACTGCTAAATCTGAAACACTTTTAAATGATACGTTGACAGATGCAAACTTTGCTAATGCATGAGAAACTCATCTGAAAATTTGGTTCTGGAGATGCTTGTCTAAAAGCAGCCAACTAAATTCACCCATTCCAGCAAATATTAAAATAGATTTCCAAAAGCAGTTAGACTGTCCAATACTGTCACACAGGCAAAATCTTAACTCTTATTTAACATCATCTTGTAAACGCTTTTCAAAATTTCAAGATGTTCAGTAGTAAATTGCCAGACTTTAGCAATCAAAACCCCCGTTAATAAAAATACAGATTACGGTTTATTGATGCTAGAGATTAATGATGCTGTAAAGAGAGAGCTTTGCTTGCACTCTCCTCAATTTGCCATATCTCTCACAAGTATTAATATGGAAAAAATATCTTCTCAGATGGATACAGTAAAACTAAAAAAGAAATATGATTTCCTGACCAGTCTCCTGACCTGTTTTAAAGAGAACAGGATTTCCTGAAAAATTGCTGTAGAGATTAATTGCAAAATAGATCACATTGTACCACTCTACCACCCTGAAATTACTGAAGATTTGAGGCTACAAGTCAGTGAGGAAAGCATACTGAATGCACTCAGATAAATATGCAGGGCTCTTAAGTTGTATGTGTAACAGACAGGAAGTGTATGAGACCAGCAATATTTAGTTGAAATTATTAAAATATGGCTCAAAATATTCTAGCACCACCACGATTTCTTTCCTCTCAAGAGCAAAAGAGCAAGTGCAGTGAAGAAAGACATACAAACTATCTCTCTGCTCCCAAGGTGAAGAAATTATTAAAATATAATTCCATCTTTTCTTTCCTACTGAGTGTAAAAGGAACCAAAAATGAGAAGAAAAGGGAAATTCTGAATTAAAATATGCTTGGGAAAAAAAGTCTTATCTTTCAGGGGTCTACAGTTTAGCTAAGGGAGATAAAGCATCCACAACAACCATGGAAGTCCTAATCTTTTTTTTTTTTTTTTTAAAACTTTTTTTTAAGCAACCTTGAAAATTCATGTTATATGGTGTGTAGGCTAAGAATATCTACTTGTATAAAGATAAGTTGTAATTTCTCAGTAGTGGATACTGTGTTCAGGTACATAAGCTATATACAGCTTTTCCAAGTACAAAATATTTCAGCTGTTATTTACCATACCAGTTTTCCACAACAGATTACTTTTTCAAAGAAAATTTTAGCAAAAATGGTTTAGTCACTCCTGAGACTCTGCAATTTGGAAGAAATATTAGATTCTTTTTACTGTGAAATCTGCCCACATTTGTTCACAGGAAAATTTACATGGAAAATGTATATTATATAATATCTTTTACGCTAGAGCCAAAAGACAACTCAGGTTAGGTTTACTGATGAAATACTGAATAATTTACCAATACAGATGTATAAAGTAAGACATATTGAATTTGTTGTAACTTTATGGTAAGCGGGGAAGGCTAGGGATTTTCTTCTTACAACTTTTTTCATCACAGGACAGAACCAGTGCAGATTAAGGTATTACAGCCAAACCTCCAGATGATGATTCAAACTACAGTCCTGAAGTAGAAACTGCTGAAATTCAGATGGGAAGCCGAATTCTAAGTTTCACAATTTTATTTGATTGCTAGAGGAAAGGAATAAAAAGACACCAGTAATATGTCATCTATAGTAGTTACTGGATGCCTCCACAACTTAATTACAGATCCTTAAAAGGACTGAGTGCTCTTATTTCATGGTAGAAACATTAGGTTACAGGAATTGTTTGGCATCTTGCAAGAATATTCCCTTTTTTAAGTTACTAAAGTTTACATAATCTTTTATTTTATTGCTAAACCTTAAGCTCATATTTGTTTAAAATGTATATGATACAGCAGCTTGAAAATGTATTTAGCATTTAAATAATTTTATTTTTCCTTTATCATTTTAAAAGCAGATTTTAGGTATATCTATTATAGGTTGACTAAACAACTTCACAGAAATCATCTTTCTGAAACAATAAAACAGCATCCTAACACAACTCAGTAACAGGCTTGTACAAATACTGTAATAAATCTATAAATACTACATTACTTCCGTTTACTGTGAAGTTTCTAGAAAACGGGAAAAAAATATAAACTGTGTTGTGAAGTTCATCATATGCATGAGCAGCAGTAAGTGGAATTTTTGATGCCTTGATAGGTATTCCATTTAAATTTTTACGAAACTGAGAAAGAGGCTATTACTTACCTTTGTCTCAATTTGTTTGGTGTCTAGATTCTGAAACAGCAGCTTTACTTTTGTTTTCCCATCATCTGAAGACCCTTTTAGCTGAGAGAATTTAAACCTCCACAGCACATTCTAAAGAGAAAGAAATTTGATTAAGGACTCTGTTACACACTTTTACCAACTGTAAATTGATGATGGAAGATTATATGAGATAAAGCATTAAGGAAATAAACATAGCACATGATAACAGGCTGGTTGCAGAGCAAATAAAATTAACAACTCTGTGTCATAGTTGAAAGCAAAAGACTATTTATAGTCATTAATTAAATAATCATTTAGAAATCATCTGAAATGTAAATATTTCAATTGCCTATGCAATATCAAAATCACAGAATCACAGAATCCATGGCATTTAGAAAGATCCTTGATGATATCTGTATCTGCTTCACTATGAACATAGTTCTATGCCATATCTTCATCTTTCGTATTTCACCTAGTTCATCTGCATAATATAATAATGTCTTACATAGATATTGCAAAGCTGAATTTACTAATGGGTATAACGTGATTTGAAATCCTAAGCTAAAATAAGCTACAGAAATTCAAAGATATTATTATTGAATGTAGCCTTGCAAACCATAAAAATACTTTTTTACATTACATGGAGAAATATATGAGAATTCTAGGCTTTTTGGTAACCTCTGGGTTTATGCATGACATCTAACTACTGTTGGCAAGTCCTAGATTGACAGGTATGTTTTAGTAGTTATGGTGATACTTCTTAAAGACAAATAATTTTTGAAGACAAATTATTTTTGAAACCAATGTAGTTTTCTATATTTATTTGAATGTTTTCTATTGATCACCTAAGAACATATAAATATAAAAAAATACAAGGTAACAATTTGCACCCAGACCTCCCGCTGATATTTCCTTTGTGACTTAATCTCAATGAAAATTCTATGCACCTGTTGAAATGTTATTTAGTCCCTGGACACTGCTGAAGAAACACAATTTAAATGCTTTGAAGGGGATTTCAAAAGTACACACAGAAAAAAAGTGAGCTATGTCCCATTTTCCAATATACCATATTGCAAAATATTTTTTTTTTATGTAGATCAGTGCTACCAGTGGTCTTGAGACACTACTCATAGTTTTAAAGAAAATGCCCTATGGACAAAAAAGTGTTTGCAGAAGGCACAAAAAGCCTCATTCCATCTCCCTGGTTCCCTGAAGACGTAAACATCATTGACTTTTTAAACAAATACAAGAGATGAAGAAAAACCCAACTATGCTACAGCATGTTGATGGTGCTTAAACTTTACATTCATGAGCAGATTTTAACTGAGTCCAGTCCTAATTAGACCATGCACTAAGTATTCAAAGCTTAAATGAATTTGGATCTAAATAGGATAGATGAATATCCACTATATAACTGCTTGGGTGGAGATGAAAGAACTTAGGAACAATTTAGCAATAATAGGCATTGCTGGAGTAATCATCTCTCTCAACAGTTTACAATGAGTGGAAAAGAAGAGAAGTAGATGGCTCTAGAAGGCAGAAGAAAATGCATACTTTGGGATCCTTTTATCTTGGATGAGCGGCTGGAGGCACAGGATGGAGAAGATGAACCAGCCAAGCCAAGAAGATAAAAAGAAGCTCTATGATCAGATATTAAGCAGCTGCAGGCCACAAGAGTATCTTTGTGATGGGCCCAAAATGGCAAAATGAGTTAAGCCTGGAACAGAACATGTAGGAATGGATGATCCTGGAACAGAAAATGTAGGAAATGAAGTAATTCTTTCAAATAAGTTTAAGAATCCCCTTGAACATCTTGTGTTGTGTTTGCATAGCAAGGTTTTAGTAGTGGGAGAGGCTACAGGGGTGGCTTCTGTAAGAAGCTTCTTGAAGCTTCCCCTATGTCCTATAAAGCCAATGCTAGATGGTTCCAAGACAGACCTGCTGCTGGCCAAGGCTGAGCCCATCAGCAACAGTGGTAGTGCCTCTCGATAAAATATTTAAGAAAGAGAAAGAAAAGCATTCAACCAAACAAAAAAGCCCCAAAGGTAAACAACAAACCGAGGTGGAACAGCAGCTGAAGAGAGGAGTCACAATACATGAGAGAAACAGCTCTGCAGACACCAAGGTCAGTGAGAAAGGAGGGGCAGGAAGCGCTCCAAGTGCCAGAGCAGAGACTCCACTGCAGCTCATGGTAAGGCAGGTTGTCCCTCTGCAACCCATGGCAGAGCAGATCTCCACCTGCAGCCCATGGAGGACCCCATGCTGGAGGAGAAGGATGCCCAAAGGAGGATGTGACCTGTGGGAAGCCTGCACTGGAGCAAGCTCCTGGCAGGACCTGTGGCCCCTGTGGACAAAGGAGCCCATGCTGGAGCGGGTTTGCTGCAGGACTTGTGACCCTGGGGGACCCACACTGAAGCAGACTGTTCCTGAACAGTCTCCCATGGGATGGATCCTACTCTGGAGCTGGGAAGATTGAGGAGTCCTCCTTCTGAGGAGGAGGGAGTGGCAGAGAAAATGAGTGATGAACTGACTGCAGTTCAGGAACTAACATTCCATCATACTTGTCAATCATATTTAAAAAATCATGGCAGTCAGGTGAAGTTCCCGATGACTGGATAAAGGGAAATATAACCCCCATTTTCAAGAAGGGGAATATGGATGACCCGGGGAATTACAGAGCAGTCAGTCTCACCTCTGTGCCTGGCAAAATCTTGGAGCAGATTCTCCTGGAAGGCATGCTAAGGCACATGAAAAACAACAAGGTGCTTGGTGACAGCCAGCATGGCCTCACTAAGGGGAAATCCTGCCTGATCAATTTGGTGGCCTTCTATGATGGGGCTACAGAACTGATGGACAGGGGTAGAGCAGTTGATGTCGTCTACCTGGACTTATGCAAAGCGTTTGACACTGTCCCACATGACATCCTTATCTCTAAATTGGAGCAACATCAATTTGATGGATGGACCACTCGGTGGATAAGGAACTGGCTGGATGGCCGCACACAAAGAGTTGTGGTCAATGGCTCAGTGTCCGGCTGGAGACCAGTAACGAGTGGTGTCCCTCAGGGATCGGTGTTGGGACCAGTCTTGTTCAACATCTTTGTCGCTGACATGGTCAGTGGGATTGAGTGCGCCCTCAGCAAGTTTGCCGATGACACCAAGCTGTGTGGTTCGGTTGATAACGCTGGAGGGAAGAAATGCCATCCAGAGGGACCTTGACATGCTTGTGAGGTGGGCTGATGTCAGCCTTATGAAGCTTAACCATGCCAAGTGCAAGGTCCTACACCTGGGTTGGAGCAATCCCAGGCACAGCTACAGGTTGGGCAAAGAAGAGATTCAGAGCACCCCTGAGGAGAAGGACTTGGGGGTGTTGGTCGATGAGAAAACCAACATGAACCGGCTTCAGCATGCATTTGCAGCCCAGAAAGCCAACGATATCCCGGACTGCATCAAAAGGAGCGTGACCAGCAGGTCGAAGAAGGTGATCCTGCCCCTTTACTCTGCTCTCGTGCGACCTCACTTGGAGTATTGTATACAGTTCTGGTGTCCTCAACGTAAAAAGGACATGGAACTGTTGGAACAAGTCCAGAGAAGGGCCACGAGGATGATCAGGGGACTGGAGCACCTCCTGTATGAAGACAGGCTGAGAAAGTTGGGGCTGTTCAGCCTGGAGAAGAGAAGGCTGTGTGGAGACCTCATAGCAGCCTTCCAGTATCTGAAGGGGGCCTATAGGGATGCTGGAGAGGGACTCTTCATTAGGAACTGTAGTGATAGGACAAGGGGTAATGGGTTAAAACTTAAACAGGGGAAGTTTAGATTGGATATAAGGAGGAAATTCTTTCCTGTTAGAGTGGTGAGGCACTGGAATGGGTTGCCCGGGGAGGTTGTGAATGCTCCATCCCTGGCAGTGCTCAAGGCCAGGTTGGACGAAGCCTTGGGTGATATGGTTTAGTGTGAGGTGTCCCTGCCCATGGCAGGGCGGTTGGAACTAGATGATCTTAAGGTCCTTTCCAACCCTGACTATTCTATGATTCTATGATTCCCCAAACCCCTGTGCCACTGGTGGGGAGAGGTAGAGAAAATTGGGAATAAAGTTAAGACTTGGAAGAAGGGAAGGGTGGGGAGAAGGTGTTTTAAGATTTGGTTTTATTTTATTATTATCCTACTATGATTTTTTTTGTAATAAATTAATTTCTCGAAATTGAGCCTGTTTTGCCCATGATACTAATCTGGGCAAAATGAATGACCTCTGCCTGACCTTATTTCAATTCATAAGCCTTTCAACGTGTTTTTCTCCCCATGTCCAGTTGAGGAGGGGAGTGATAGAGCGGCTTTGGTGGGCACCCGGTGTTTAACCCATCATACTCCTAAGCAAAAGTTCTTACCTTTTTTGTTTCATTATTTCTAATATGAAGGCGCTTTTTATATTATTTCCCAGACTGTAGAAAAGAATATTTTTAATGAGCACATGAGCTGGTTGCCAAAAATTTGAGTTCCAGTCTCAGAGTCCTAGAGCAGACAAGGGACTGGCCTTTATTTTAATAAGTCTGTATGAACACCTGCTGTGGTGTAAGAGCATTCTTTGCATCAGTAGGTGATTTTAATTTGAAATTCATTATCTCAAACAAAAAAATATTTTTTCAGCACAATTTCTGTGTCCCTGATGAACTGTTAATTGCTTGACCGCTTCACCAATCTATTCAGTGGTGCTAGGAAATACTCTGAAAAACCTGTAAGTATGGGGCAACACAGTTATCTCCAGCTGACAATTATCAGAAGTAAGATGAACTGCAGAAACAACCCTCAGTCAGATGCCTCACTCAGGCTTGACGAAGCACCATCTCTCACACAGATTAAATATAAAGGTACTTGTACACACAAAAACTAGATGCTGTGTCGGCTTTTAAAAATTCAGTATGTTTTCTGTTATCTCAGAATGACTGACTGAATTTCTTTAATATATCTTTAAAAAATCCTTTCAGTTTGGAGTTAAAGGCCATATTTCAGATGACAGATCTTCTGCTGTAGAGCTCTATTAATACAGTAACATTTTATGTATGTAAGTTTGCTTCTACTGGCAATAAAATGTATAAATCCATTTATAATAATTTAAATAAAAGTATCACTAGATTATATAGAAAACAGTAGAATTATAGACAGGGTTTAGAAGTTGACATGCATCATAAACTACCCCTGTGGCACTTTATATATAGCCACTGTTTTGCATTATAGGTGATTTTAATATTAAAAATTGACTTTGAAATGCATTTGTTCTTGTTCTGCTTGTTTTAGACATGGCCTACATTTCTTATGATGGAAGAATAATTGAAACTACTTTATATTTGTAGCTTCAAAACAAAATCAGGTGATACTTCATTTCTTTCATTACTGGTAATCTTTTAAAAATCTTGAAGTTTCTTCATTATAAGAAACCAAGTTCTCCGCTAAATATCACCTTTCTTTGCTTTTATTACTTGAAAATTACTTTTTTTATATCTTTCTCCAAAATTTATCTCTACATGCTAAGGCACAACTATAATTATGCCAAACTCACTACATTTCAGTAATGCTGTATAAATAAAAAGTTCACTACTTTTGAGGAAGAAATGTTCATCAACATAAAGAAATGACTGCTATTAATCAACATAAAAATTTATGGTTAATAAGAATTTCAACAATAGTAAAATAAAAAAGAGTTGTGTTTTCTTTCCTTTTAATTCTTACCTTTGTTTTACTGTCAAAACAGGTAAATCCCAGAGCAAAGTCTACTGTGAAACACAGGCTATCCCCTTGCCAACTGCACATATATGTTTTAGACTGGAAAAAAAAAGTTTTTGAAAGAACAACCATCATTACCATTTATCACATAATGTTTTATATAGGTTTTTTTTCTGTGGGAAGACACTCAGATGGCAACACTGGTACTGCTTTATCTTATTGCATTTTAAAATTGTCAAAACCTTCTGTCTGTAAGTCAGTATTAGATCTACCAGCCAGACATTAACTGGAAGTCTTCTTTACTTCAAGTCACTCTTCCACAAAATACATACCATATTCTTGGAAAGCATCCCTTATAAAATACAGCAGAACAATCAAAGCCAAACTGACTATTTAAAACTTTTGGAAAACTGCTTAGATCTGGACTATTAATGACTTCTGACAGAATTTCCAGCATATGTGCAGGTAACAATGCCTAAATGTTTAGTCATTGTGATCAAATTATGAAAAAGCTATCTGCCTACTTGACCTCTCTATCAGTTTTAAACTTTGTAGACAGTCTTTTTTATTTTGCAGTGTTTTTTCATTTGTCAACTTGGTGACATGCCAGTGCAGCACCATGTTAATTAATGCTAAAGTAATTCAATAATAAGAACTAGTCATTATCACTCATTAGTTAGCATTGATACTTGCTAGACACTGATATATATATATAGCAATTCTTTGATTGCCTTTCAGGTTAGAAAGAAAAAGTCTGATTTATTAACAAAACCTAGAAGTTTTATTTAAACTTCTGAATAGGCTTTACAGTAAAAGTCAATTAACATCCTCCTTTACATATGTTTATAATGCTAGCTAAATTGGGTATGTGATGGTATGTGAAAGCACGTGAAAAATTTTCTGCTGCTGATACACTATGAAACAGCTTGATGACATGCACCATTCAGAGTTAATGACAAAAAAGCTCATTGGTTTCAGAATCAGATCAGATCCTGCCTCCACCCTTTCCTCGTCACCCCTTACCACCCATTTTTAAAATTACAACCTTGTGTCTTATGAAATCTATCTTTCTTTTTTTTTTTCTCTTCCAAAGCAGCATTGTTTTGCTCTTATTGATATTTCAGAAACCACGGAGTTACCTCACATTTAGACATTTGTTTACATGAATTTTTCACATTTGAATAGTTTCCTTAAAAAAAAAAAAAAAAGGTTTTAACACAATAATGGCCTAGAAGAGGTTAAAAGCATTTATAAATTTGCTTAAATTGAAAACTGGCATTTTAATTTTTTTTTATAGATTTATGGTACAATCTAGAACTTCTTCATTTAGTAGTTGTAAAGGTTTCCTTGTTTCACTATTAATAAAAACATTTAAGGTTATAATAAAATAAGCATTCCTGAGTTAGAGATATGATATTTTCACAGGGTATTTTAAAGAGTATTGAAAGGGCTGGGAATTAAATTATTAGTACAGATTTGTATTATAATCACCTCAACAATGACAGTTGTATATATTATTTTAGAATAAATGATTTTTCTCACTGGTGTTCAGAGATCATATTATTTGGCATTTAAAAAGATTTCAGTGATTGATATTCAAGAAGAACAATGTTTAACTATCCCTGCATTTTGGTTAGTACATTACGCACCAGTCACAACTTATTCTCCATTATTTTCCAGTTAAAAAGGTTATACTACCTGAGCTCTGATTCAGCAAAGCAATTTTTAAAACGTGTTAAATTAGATTCACTGAATGGGTAAGCATCTACTTGCTAGGCCACAAATGGTGACTACTAAAATGAACTATACACAAATAATTAGCCGGGCGTATTTTACAAATATCCAATATTTGCAAACAATGGCACTGGCTGGCAAATTATTTGCAGACAAGTACTACAGCCAAACAGAATATGGTGCATTTTCACTGTGATAAACATTAAAAATAGATATATAAAGTTTATACTTACAAAATACACTAACAGCAATTTCTTCACAGCAGAATTAGTTTGGGGTTTGCTGTGCAAATTTAAAAGCCTGCCTACAGCATTTTCTCAATAACTTTGAAAAGGTTCTCAGACAGCTTTGCGATAAATACTCCCATCTCCACACATTAACACTACTACAGATCACCGCGCCTTTCTACTCTTGCTTTTGGAATAAGCTTCTCATACACTTGCAATTGTGTGATCGCTCTTGGTTGCCTACAACAACTGTTTACATGGAAGCTTAACACAAGTAAAATAACACTGCATGTTAGCTGGATTGAGAACTCACAGTTTAAGCAACAGAGAGGAGAATAATAGGTTACATAAAAATCCTTCCATACCTATTTGAAATTAGATTTTTCTGTGCTTAGGTCTAATACTAGCTTATCACAAAATACTTGGGGATTATAAGTAGAAGTAGATGAGAATCTACAAGGTTATCACCCTTAAAATATGCACTAAAATATTTTCCAGTCATATAGCTATACCCTAATAACCACGTCAAATTTACATAGGTCATACACATATGAAAATTTGAAACATTAGCAAATGTGATACAGTGACCATCTTTGGCTTGTACTGCGTCAGACAAGATGTAAAAGTTTTTCCAGCTCTAACCTTGGTGATTTTGAACATTATGGGGACATAGACTATGATTTTAAGCCTGATGGGATTCTTCAGTCAAAGCATTAAGAATTAAGCTGTCCAAACGAAGGCATCATGCCTGAACTGCAACAGCTAAGAAATTTGTAGCATGTAGCCTGTGGCCAGCATGACACTATCATGCTAGGACTGAATTGTGAATACATGGAGTACCATGCAATACTAATACCATTATGCACTAATTAGCATTACCTCACATTCTGGCAAAAACATCTTTGACCAGTCCCAAGTACATGTGTTCTCTGCCTATCTTGTCCTGCCTCCACACTGGGTCCCCTTCACCAGAGATCATGTGAGAGTGAGCAAGCCTCTGCTCCAAAGCAGAAGAGGAAGGTTAAAAGCAGTTTTCAGTGTTTCCCTCTTGCTAATGAAATTCCTGCTTCTCCTCAGCAAATCACTTATACAAAGCTGAACTCTTGTCTGCACAGTAACTGCAGGGGACCGAGAATCCTGGAGGGAAGTAAGAAGTGTGAGTAGGGCAGAGAGTTAGCAAATGGAGGGTCCTAGAAGCTAAATTAGGGAAAAGAGTGCCTGCATCCAGGAGCAGGAGGTGTTGCTGCCAGTGTGCAAGTACTCTTCTACTGCAGCCTTCAGAATAAAAGTCCCTAAATTTACCCTAGGACAAGATTTCAGCCCTTTAGCAAGGTCCCATCAGTTGATCAGTAGCTTGTCTTTCACTCCCATCTACAAAACTCTTGACATTTCCATCCTAGCATGATCGTTCAGTTAGCTAACATTGTGAGGCTTGAGAAACTTAGTATTTTTGTTGTTGCTCTTGCTATTCACGTCAATTAATATCTTCCATAACTATGCACATGTCTGCAGAAGGCAATTAGCACTGAAGGTTTGGGTTAATTACCTCTTAATGGAAGAAAACCAGAAAGGATTCTTTTATGTCTATCTTCCATCAGTTTTTACAGTAGGGAGAGGGCAAGGGACAGGTTGCTTCAGTACTCTAAAACAAAGATCAATCTAGGATTCTAACAATGAGAAGAGACTTTACAAAAACGCTCAATGACAGGGCAATTCATTTTAAAACCAACTTTTATGGGAGACAATGTGTTTGTGAACAGATCTGCAGCCTAACAAGAAGGGCTTTAAACTTTGCTTATGGGTATTAGGTAAATAAGTCAAGAAGTGAGTAAATGCTAAAACTGGAGATTGAATGCATGGTGAAAGACTACAAGAGGGACTTTGTAATTGTGACTCAGAAGCAAGAGACAAATAGACCTCAAACATCTGTACAGGGAGAGACAGAGCCTGGGCAGCAAATGGGGAACATTTCATGTGCAGTCACTGCCCTATAACATGGTGGGAAGCATGAAGATTTGGTGGGTAATAGGCACCATTGCAGCCCAGGCACAGGCTGCTTAGGAAAGAGAGGCAAGGAATTAAAAGAGGATCCCTCCTTCTCTTGAGTTGCATTGTATGTATAGGGATCCATGGCCACACAAACCCATAGTATGAAGCCAGAAGGAAGTGAGAATGCTTGTCATATCAGGTCTCTCAGGAAGGATGAAGCCACACATAAGTTTGGTTGATTCAGGGACTGTGCAGCCCAAACGCTTCTAAATAAATCTAGGTATGCAAGAGATTTTTTTGGTAATTGGAATATGAGCTCATTAAACTGCTTTAGCTGGAGGGACTAAATTTTCTTAAGTTCTGTCATAGGTGTCCAATGTAGTGTCTGGATGATTTTTAAGACATAAAATCTTTTAATGTTACTCTAACATGGGATTGTCTTCTGTGCAAGAAATAGAGGCTCCTATTGCATATGTTTTTCAGTAAAATCCTTTAAAGACATGATTATTAATAATGCTTGTCAGTTCAGAAGTTATATTCTGAGATCATCAACAAATATATATACTAAAAAAATACCATTTTACATAAGTTTTAAAGAATCAGGGTGGTCAGTTACTAACTTTTTCAGTCAGTATTCCTAAATTTTCCTCTATTTCTTTGGCAGATAATGTTTCCGAGGAACAAATGAGATTCAGCAATGTTGCTCCTGTAAGAGCAACACAGAAACATGATATAGTGTATATGCCTTTTAATGGAATTTACTTTTATAACTCTAGTGCTGTTCCTAATGCCTTATCAAGCTTACGGTTTCAAATATTCAGTTAATGCAGGGTTATATTGTGGTTAATTATTGTCTTGCATGAATAAAACCCTCTCTTTTCCTCTAACTACAACATACATATGCAATTTATTCATTCATTTTGGACTCAGCTATGTTCCACTGAGAGGAAATCCTAGTGTTTTTAATCAGCCAAAACACAGAAATAAATACTGGGCTTCTATTCGAAATGAATAAAAGTTTGGCATGTAGATGATTTTGCTTGTTTATTTTCTACAAAGCAATTGGAAATTAGACAATACCGTTACACTTTACTGCTTAAACTACATATTTCCCCTGCTCCTCTGTCAACTAGATATGTATATACATTT